TCCGATCTCGCTTTTGTGTGCCCTCGTCTGGCAGCTGCTTTTTGTTTAAACTTTTATGGCGCAGCTTTAGCTTTTCCTTTTGCCCGGCTTTCATTTCAACAAAAGGACATTTGGCATAAAGGAATTTACCCAAAACGGGGGAAAACTTATTCACACACAAAAAAAAATCCCAAACGAAGTCGAACGTTAAGCTGAACCCCAGTTTATCATTAAGAGACAAAAACCACAGCAACGGAAATACCACCAGGAGTCGGAGGAATAAAAAGATGTCGAGGAGCAGTCCAAGTTGAGAGACAACGGCCTCATAAAACGCAGCCATCAAAAACGACAAAATTAAAAAGTTCAAATGGCAAATGGCAGGCAAATTGTTAGTCGTAAAATTACTAGAAAAAATCTACGGGAAATATTTTCCTTAAACAACGAACTTCCAATGCTTTAACTGGGAGGAAAATCTAAATTTCAACGAAATTTATTGTTGCAATGAATATTTCAGAGTCGTTTAAAGACATGTTTATTGGGATAATCATGCCAAATTCTTTGAGAGCTGAGTCTTCAATTGGATCGCTAATATATTGGCAAATGGAATGGAAATTTTTGAAATAAAAATTTCTGCTTTCGGTTCTATTAAAACAAATTAGGTTAAGCGATGTTCAATGAGCTTAAGAAAAATTGTGTATGAGAACAATGCAAATTTTTCTATCAATCCATAAGTATAAAAGCTTTATGTTTTATTTGAAAATTAAAGTAAACAAATTAGTTACAAAAAATTAATAGATTAAAAATCATATTACCATAAGCTTTACTTTTACAAACTTCAAATGACAAAAAAAAACCTTGTCAAAAATAAACAAGAAGTTGTACAAAATGAAGCAATACAAGAAAAGCTAAATTTAGTGCTTGCAATTCTGTTTTACAAATATAAGTACAAAGATCCCGAAATTGTCCAGCTGCTGCTCCTCATCCCAGATTTTCATTCAATTCCCAAGTCTCAACCTAAAGACCCGCCGACATTTTCATTGTCGTCTTATTGAGACAAATAAATTTCGGGTGGTGCCACATGGCGATGCCAACTGCAGTCGTCGCAGGTTTTCCCTGGATGTTTTTAATTTTGCGGCGCGAATAAAAAGCAAAACTTTGCACATAATCGTTATCGCCGATGCTGAGAGGGAAAGCCCCCCGGAAAAAACCCCTCGACTTGACCATAATTTGCGGCCAAAACAAAGGCTTTTCCTGCGTCTTGGAAATTAGCATTTTTATGCTTCCGCCAGGATTACACACACAACTTCATGGCGAACTCCAACTCCTGTTCACAAGAAAGATATAGTCGGAAAGTTTTTATCCACAACAATGGAAACTTGCACTCATAGTTGGCATCAAGTCGTCGTCGTCGTCGTTGTCGTCGTCCAATGATGTAAGGACATGAAAGCAAGGACATAAAAGCCGGGTGAGGCAACCAAGGAAACGGTAAGTAAGTTTTAATTACTCCTTGACAAATATTTAACTTCGGGAGTTGCCAACGGAAAGGGGAGGGGGACGGGAATGGAAGAAAGGGACCTTGTCTTACGCACAATTAAACAGATTTTTGCCGCTTGTGAGACAAATGAAATCACAGGAGGACAAAGGAGGTCGTGGTTCCGGATTCGGCATTTCAGATCCTGTGGGGTTGTAACAACATAATTTTGCGCCGTATAATGTCATAAATGTCTGTTAACAAAACAACAGACGACGGAGAACTGAGAACGGAGAACGACGAACGGAGACGCAGACTGTCAAACATTATTACATTATTTGCCTTTTGCTTTTGGCTCTGTCAAAAGGCTGAAATTGAAACCAACCCCGTGGCTTCCTCGTTCCTGGCTTCTATTTGCCCGTCTCTGGGATTTCTGGTTCGTTCTTAGATTACCAACTCTCATTGCCAGATCAACCCCGACATGGGAGATTAATTGCGCCAGCCTTTTCCTTCTTGCCGAGCCAACTTCATCATCGAGTGCCCCCTGACAGCAATTATTACATTTTCATTACATCCCCTAATCAGCATTTTGTGCATGTTGATTGTGTAAACAGGCGTCGCGTAGTCGCTCCAGTCTCGTTCACATTTCGATTTTGGACTCGGATCGGGAAATTGATTCAAGAGTTGGGAAGTCGGTGAAGGGTTACTGATGTGATTTGCCTGGTTAGCAAAATGGCTTAGGCAGGTGTTGAAGTGGCCGGCTCAAAGGGGGAATGCCTTCTTAATGGGTAAAGGGTTCAATTGAGGCATAAGTTCAAGTAATTATGAAATCACCTAATGGACTTTTAATACGATTTTTGTTTTATTAAATTAGTTAAAGGTTTAGAGAATAGAGTAAATGTACATTTAATTTGATATCAATGAAATATGTTATTAAAGAAATTAAACATATTCACATTTATTACTACAAAAGGCTATTTTATATGCATCGTCAATCAATATTTTTTTTCCAATGTTAAGAAAGGGTAATGTGTCAGTGGAACACGGTAGTATTTACATTCCTTAGGTAATTTTCAGATAAGAAATCACGCCCAACCCAACTTCATTAACTCACAAATGCAATCGGCCAACTTCTCCGCCTCGAAATCGAACCCTTGCAAATCATTTCGAATGTACGTCTTGTGCAGCTTTGAGTGTTGATTTGACTTTTGCGATTCGTGCTGACATTTCAAATCAATAAAGTCGCACTTTGCACTGCCACAGGCACCTGCTCGCAATTATTGGGAATTCAAGGGGCAGCAAATGGGGAGCCACACACGCATTACCATCCAGTTTAATGGCAAATAGCAAATAGCAAACAGCAAACGATGTCTTGCTCAAATAAGCCGATTAATTGTAATCAAGCAGCGCGTCTAAATGGACACCGACTGGGTATTCAGCTGGGTCCCGGAACCAAACGGAACTGGATGGTCTTTCTGGATGGGCTTTCTGGATGGGATCCCCTGTCTATCGATTTCTGTCGTCTGGCCGCTTGGGTCAATGCATATGCTCCCAAGGAAATAAATAAAAAAAAAATAGAAAAATAGCAAGGCAAAATAAGTGAAACACTTTCTACCCCAGCAAGTGGAGCCTTTCCCCCACCGGAGTTTAGTGTAATAAAAAGAATTGCCAATTGCGAAAAAGGCTTCAAATTTACACACGCAGAAAAAATTACAGAGAAAATCATAATTTCTAATTGAATATAATAAAATGATTAATTTTTTTTATAATAAAGAATTTGAGCTTCATAAAATCGTATACTTGTTTCAAACAAGTTTCACCATGAGAAGTGAATTTTAAAATTATGTGATGACGATGGTTAAATCTTTAATAAAATGTAAGATTTGGATTTTAAGTATGGAAATTTGTTTCTAAAAACACGATCTGTGAATTTATTACATAAAATAGATGTAAAATATTAAGTACTGAATAAATGTTTTTTGCAAAATTAATTCAAGATGTGCATTAGTTAAGTATATTTTTAAAGAAATATTTTATTTGTAATGAAAACTCTTAAAATTTCCATACAGAATTTCCATAAACATATTCATGAGTCATAAGGAAATTTTCAGTGCACAATCTCATCCCTTTCGAGTCGAGGATATTATAGGGTTTTCCCCTTTTGTAATGACAAATAATAACTGGTGGCAGTGCCTGTTAGCCCCACCCACTGTTTTCCTGTCAGTGGGCAAATTAATGGTGAAGTGTAAGTAAAATTTACGCTCTGCCACCGCAGCTGCCCCTTTCCCTGCCCCCCTCCCCTCCCTCCCCACCCATCCCCTCACCATGCAGTCCCTGCTGTTCGCATCTGCTAATAATCATAAAAAAGGCGGCTAGCAGCATTTTGACAACCGACAAACCCCCACAAATGCAGCACCCCCATTCAGAAGGTTTCGGCTGACAGCCGCAGAATAAAGCAAAGGCTGCCGAAAAGCACCAGCCGCAAACAAAACAAATATAAATAATTTTACTTTATTGTTTAAAGCCAACTTGGACCCCAGCCATTGTGTCTGAGTGGGGCTTGTATTTATGATGCAATGCAACTGATTAGCAACTCGGCAAGATCGCAAAGGCAGTTGCCAAGTGGAAATGGACGTGAATGCCGACTTTTGCATTTTTTGCGATATTATTATTTATTTGACTTGCCAAGTTACTTGCCAGATCAAACGAATTATAATCAACTCGGTTCGGGGGAAGATATCGTTCTTAAAAATTTTCCAAAACAGAAAATGTGTGGAAGCTTTTTTTTCAGAAGAAAAAAAAACAGGAAATGGGGTTTGAAATTCGTACATTCTTCAAACTTGGAAAATTTAAAAAAAAATTGATCAACAGCATTTTGGTTGTACGACTAAATTTTACAAATTAAAATTTCAAAACCGGTTGTTGTGTGTTAATAAAATTTTGAAATTTAAATGTGTGACAATAAATTTTTAACGGAGAGCTTTTAATATATATTAAAGTTCATAGATTTGAAACCTTACGTATATGCATTTAAAAACAGATTTCAATAAATATTATTTTTTTATTTCAAACATTGTTACATTTTCTTCAAAATAAAAGTTAACTACATATTTTTGGCCTTGTATCAATCTAATTATTTTTTAATTAAAGATCCCATCGGGTGTGCTTTTTTGCTCTAAGACAGAGCCCTTCAATTTACCTAATTACCAGCATCTGACTTGCTCTAACCATAAATTCACGATTTTTATGTAATCAAAGTTCACCGAGGGTGATGGTGCTCATTCAAGAAATCAGAGTCTCGAGCGAATCAAAGTTCACTTCATGGGTTAAACTTGAACATGTAGGTAATTGCGGACAAGAAAATAATTGTAAACGTTGATTGTTCCCTGGGAGTTGGGGCCAGAAAAAGCCATAAAAAAAGCGCCCATAAAACGCCGCTACTGCAGAAATTCTCGTAGGACAAAACAATTTGATGGCCGAGTGAGAGATCTCAGTCAATTGATAAGATTTCAGTTCAATTAAGATGGGGAATAGCTATAGATTGACTCACTTGTAAAGGCCTTGCTGCATATCCATGTTATTAGAGTTGGAGCCGATTCCCATGCCCATTCCTCCGGCAATTCCTCCTCCGTTCAGCATTGTTCCGCCGTATCCCAAATTTCCGGGTAATCCCTGACTACCGGGCACTATAATTCCCAACTTTGCCAATCCTGCCAAGGCATGTCCATGTGGATGGGAACCCATATTGCCACCGTGGCCGTGGGAGGGTGGCAGACCCATTCCGTTGACGGGAACTCCGAGTCCCACTCCCGAATGCCAAGGATTTCCAACGGATCCTGCTCCTCCAATCACAGAGGGAACACTCGACGTACTGCTGCCCAATTGGTTGACCATGGATCCTCCTCCAGGAGAGCTATTCACCACCTGACCAGCGTTTTGTCCCATCAGGGTGTTCAGTATTGTGCTGTTGATGTTGCCGTTGTTCAGATTGTGGTTACTCTGGTGCTGTTGGTGTTGTTGGTGTTGCTGGTGGTGAATTGGTATTGCAGGATTGCTGCTCTCGAGATCGCCATTCTGGCCAACCATCATCAGCTGATCCTCGTTTCGCACCTGGCCGAAACTCAGGTGGGTGAGGATCATTAGCACAAGTACTCCCGTTGACGATGGCATTTTACTGGTTTTATTGGTTTATTTTAGCGGTTGTTGGTGAATTGTTGATTTTACTAAATGCGTTTTCTATAGTCTACTTTTTGGCGTGATATATTGTGGATGTTTTGTGGTAAGTACTTTAGTTAATAAATTACTATTTACTAGGTTTCTACTTTATAATATATTTATTACTTTATAATTATAATTATTTTTACGATTTGTATGCTTGTCAAAATGATTTCGAATAATATAAAATTGTTATGTTGCCGTATCAAAAATTGTTTAATATTCTATTCGATGCGTTTGTTTTTCGGTTTTGAGATTATGTACGTTGATAATTGCTTGAATTTTGTTTTGTTTTTTGTGTAACTTATTTTGGACTGCTTAATACTTTTCGTTTGATTTCCACTTGTTTTTTTTTTTCTCAGGCAACTACATTTTTGTTTTTCCTGCTCGTTAGTGGACTGGTTAAACTTTAAACTTTTCACATTGGCACTTCAAACGTTTTTCTTTTGTTATTTCAACGGCCGAAGATGATTTATTTTCTCAAGCGTTGTGCGTTTTTCCGATTGGTATTTTCCTTTGGGTTTCCTCGGAAAAAAATCGGAATCTCTCCGATCGAAGAGCGCTAGATCAAAAGGCGATACGCCAGGCGCTGATTTTCCCCACCGACGATCGGTGAAACCCGTTTTGGAAGTTGCTGTTGCTGCTGCCGTGTTGCTGTTGCTGCCGCAGTTGCAATGTTTGTTGCTGACCGCCAGCGACGCCGTCGCCAGTGCTTCTTTATACCGCCGATCCATCCATCTGGGCAGCCCGATTTTGAGGTTTTTCCGCTGCACATGAAAAGGCGCCGCCACGCATTTAGGGATTTTTCCTCGGGCCGGCCGGCCGGCCACTTGCCATGCGAACAGCCAACAGATCACAGAACTTATCACACACTTTTCGAACCACCGAATAGTTGTGGTATTGGGCTGCTCCCCGGATGCGAACAGTTTTTCACGCTTTCCCAACAACACACACCTTTTGTGGGACTTTTCGTGGGAGTTTCGCTTTCGACGGGAGTTGTTCGTTCGTTCGGCTGACTCTGGCTATACTGCCTCTTTCAATCTGAATCGGGATCTGAGTTTGCAACCAACGCGCCACACGTGCGTCCATCAGCTCGTTCGGCACTCGACTGAATCTGAATCATCGACAGCAGGCCGTCGTGGGTTGCCGTTGCCGTTGTCGTTGCCGATGGCAAACGCGGTCGTGGTTGGCGCATTTCGAGGGTCGAAAATGCGTGCGCAGCCAGTGATAAACTTGCAACATGTTGCATGTTCGACGTGCCGCCAATTGATCGCCGGTCACAATATATGGACAACACTTCATTAATTATGGCGACAACTTGTCAGCCGTAATTGCTCCGTGGATAATTGGCCGGCAAGTGGAAGTAGAAGTGTCCCTGGGTTAGTCGCTTCTCCCGGCTACCGCGCATTTCCCCCTCACTCTTGGGTTTATCTTTTTCCGCCAGATAAACCCCGGTTTGGTTTGCCGAGGTTTTTCCATGTTTGCTTGCTCAGTCAGTCCATCCATCAGGGAGTCTTTCAATCTCCTAGACACTTTTCTCCGCAGGTTTATCCATCCGGGTGCAGAGACAAAAAATATTGCTACTACTACCAATTAAATAGATTGTAATAATTAAAAAATTATTTCACATTGGATTGGATTGGATGTTAAGGTTTTTATCAAGCTAATTCAACTCTATTTTAATCCTAATGTAGGTAGGTTTATTTTTAGGTCCTTCTTAATAACGATATAAAGAGACTACAACTTTTAAGTTTCACCTTTAATTTGTGCAACTAATTAATAATACATTTGCAGAAATCAGGCGTTTTGTCACTGCTTCTACAAAAATTAATGTAAAAACATAAAAAATACCCATAAATTTAAAAAGATTCTTTTGTATCTTTTTTAGGAAATGGTTGTATTATTTAAAAAAAAAATATTTCTCTCCATGTAGGCAACTCAACTTTCCACTTGTCTTCAACTGTTTAGCTGTTTGTTATTTACCTTTTTTCGTTCACTCTCTTAGACTCTTAGACATTCCCAAAAGGGCAAGGCACTCGGCAAAAATGTTTTTTAGCTACAACTTTTGACCCAAAACCCCTGGACAGCGCATAAACCCGATAAACTCTTACCTGATCGGCACCCAATATTTGCCCAAGTTAATTACAAAAACAACATGGGCGGAAAAATCATCGTTTGGTTTGTCTATTTGTCCAAACATTTGTCAATTTCATTGAGCTCTGACCAGGCATATTTCCTGCGACGATCGAAAAAGCGGCAAACCGACTTTGATCGTTCATCGCCGTCGTATTTTTTTTTTGGTTCAATTAAGATTCATTTTAACGCTCCGAGAAAGGCCAGTAAGTATATACTGTGTGGCATGATTGTTCGTTCTCGGCGTTTATCTAATTTACTTTTACTTACACTTACACTCCCAACTACAAGCGCCCCCCGGTCCCCAAAAAAGATAAGTGTCTGTCCGTCCGATGGGAATCGGCTGGGGAATGGGAATATATATGGCTGATGGCTGTATGAGAATGGGACAAAAAGTCGAGAGCCCAGAATCGAGAAACGGAGCTGACCAGTTTTATTGGCTTGACAATGGGCCCGTGTCTTTGGGCGAGAAGGTGAGGGAATTGCTCTTCAAGTGTCTTTTCATTGCGGCACTTTGGGATCCCAGATCGCAGAACCCAAAAGAAGCGGAGGAAGACGAGACGCCGTCTAATCTCTGCCCCGGGTCCTCATTCTAATGGCTTCTAATGAACTACTTAAGCTGCTGATATGGAAGTGATTGACGATGATTCGGCGGAGGCATGATCGGATAATCTCATCGCTCGAGTGCTGTCAATACACGAATCGAAGGCTGCGATTGCGGCTTAAAATATATTAGCCACCCCAAGGGATTATCTACAGGATGAGTCAGTTAAGGGTTAATAAAAGGAACTGAGGGAAAATCAAATTAAGGGAAAAACACCTTATTGACAACACTGAACATACCTAATTAATTTATTTATTTGGTATTATAAAACATTTATTCATCAGTAACTTTTAATAATATTGTAGTTATTGATCAATTGAATTCGGTTAGAAAATGAAATTGAGGCAAATCACCAAATATGTTTTTTAATTAACATAAACTACGAATACAAATAAAATTTTTAAGAAATTATTACTTCTGTCAAGTAGTACCTAAAAAATCGTACCCCATTTGACTTTCCACTTGATTCGAAAGTAATTAAGCCGAAAATTGTAACCCCTTTTGGAAAAGGAAAGGTTCAGTGACTCTGGGCCATTTCGAATGTTTAATGTAGCGTAAAATTGCAATGTCAAAACATTTTGTGCAAATCAACTCCCCAGCTTGAGCCCCATCTAATGTGACAATGGCATGACTGAGGTCCGTTTAAAGGTTCGGCTAATTGTCGCCAAAAAAAAAGAAAGCCCTTTGAAGTGCCAACTCTACTTTAAACTGTTGTAAACCATTTCCTGTGTTTTCCTAACTGCCAAAGAAAATTCCATTTCCCCCGAAGTTGTTTATGAAAAACAATTTCTCGCCGGGGGAGAAAACATGCTCAGGTAAATCAAACACTTGCCAAGCTTTCGGGCAGAAGTCTAAACATTTTTACAGACACCTGCCACAAAATGACGTCTTGTTTTTCGTTTTTGGCCCGAATCGCTCAATCATCTCAAGTGGTCAGCGATCTTTTTCGGCTTGCTCGATGCTCTCTCTCTCATTGGGAAAACTTCCTAATTGGCCAGCGGGCGCCACCCGATGCAGTTATTATGATTATGACTAGCAGCACTTCAAAGAGCCATCGACTTCAAAGAACGCGCCAGGTAAACGACACTGTATGTGCCACACAAGTTGGGAGGAAAACAGGAGAAAATAGCCGGGGGGAAAAGGAAAAAGGGGGAACCGCTTCCTTCATTTTGCGGCTGCACGCGACATTAATTTCAGTTCCTGCCCCGGAGACTGCAACTAACAGCTTCTGTCCTCCACTAAAATTAATTTCATAGCCAATTGCTCCGTCGTAAAGTAAACTTTTACTTCGACTGGCTCTTTTTTCGGCTCGGTTTTACTCGCATTTTATGGCTCCTCAATTGATGGAAGCCAAGTACCGCCCGGCAATTCTTTAACTCGCTGCAATTAGTGCGTCATTATTATTTGCAATCCAAAACTATGTGGGAATCATCGAATGACGAAGACGAGCTCCCCGCATTCAGATATATGCGATTATAATGGACCCGCATGCCAGTTCGCCTGTCAAATTTATGACAAGTTATGAGCGGCAGCAGCATAAACAAAGGCGAAAAGAAATCATACAATAAACCCATCATCATTAAAATTGAAAGCGATCTCGCAGGGGCCAGACGGAAATCGAAACTAAAACTTTTTCACTGCCTCGAGCTTCTTCGACTGCCGAACATGCGATAAGTTGGTGTAACCTCTTTAAGCCGCTTAAAGGATAAGTCCTGGATTTATAGCAAGAAATCGAAATACAAGGCGTTACACTAAGGAAAATATTTGCTAATTGGTAATAACAAATAAATGTATCAGAAATAAATTTTGAAATTATCTATGTCCTAAGTTTTTACAAAATAATGAGTTGTGGATAAAAAAAAACCTATTTGTTTTAAACAGCCTTCTTTTGTTTTTTATATAGTTCATTTTATTTATTCTCAATTGTTCAGCTTTTATTTTAATTAAATACGTTTTAAAAAGGAGTATGAAAGAAATTTTTGTCGTTTTACTTATTTTATGAAACCAGCTAGAGGATAGTTTACTTATTGATTTAACCCCAGCCACCCTTTATAATTTAATGAATTTTTCTATTAGTATATTCAAGTGTATGCATGAAGAAAGAAATTGTTTCTTAAAGCTTTCATCGCAGCAGCCTCAACCTCAGCCCTTCGGGTCAACTTGTTTATGCGACAAATATCCATAAATAGTTTTACGCTCTTACGGGTTCAAGTACTGGAGAGGCGAAAGGACTCGGCCCAAGGATACGCGATAGGCAAGGGCCTGCTACCACTTAAGGTAACCAACTGGGGAAGGACCGAGTGCTAGACACATTTGGGCCGACGAAAAAAAAATGAAGCGGGAGGAGGAAAAATATCGCAAGCTATTGAAAAGGTGGCCGGGAACAAAGGCAGCGGGCAAAGCGAAGACGCCGTCATCATCATCCTCATCGTCTGAAGTAAGTAGCAATTTAATCAGCTCGAAAAAGGGGAGCATGGCGATGATGTTGTCAAATGGTTACTTTTATCCCAAAACTTCGCTCTCTGCGCCCCCAGTGTGTGTTTAATGTGGCGCAAGAAAATCCGAAAACGGAGCAGCGGAAATATATACTTTTGGCTACTTTGCTGCTTCTTTTTTGCACCAGCGGAATTCGTGATATTGTTTAAACGCCATTCACTCTCCGTTTTGATTCAATTAAAGCGCATTTTGCGTTATTTCGCTTACAGTTAATTAGCACAAGTCAAGAGCCTGCGGGCCATGAAAAAAGGGTCGATGGCAACGGTGGGTCGTGGGTGGCTACAGTGGCTACAATGGCTACAAAAAAATCCAAACCAATCCAATCCTACCAACCTGCAGAATGGGACCCAGCAACATGTTGCCCCAAACCAAATGGGGCCGCTGAAGAAGTGGCGCGTGCTGGTTTCCGATTTGGGTTGCGAATACCAGACGAGGGGTTATTTCTACAACCAATTATCAAGTGCAAGCCAATACATAGCCCGAATGCAAATGGATTCAAAACTTTAAGGGCCGGATTAAGCACGTGGCAAACATTGCCAACATTATTTAACTCCAACAATAACTCGATAACAAAAGCAAGAGCTCTAAATGAAAAGTGTTTATAATTTTATTTTTTCTCTAAACTTAAGCCCATCGAAAACCTCTATAGAAACAATATTGTTAAGTATACGTTTAAGCTAAATAAATAATTTTACCACAAAATTGTTATTTAAATTGAAATTTGTTTTGTACTTTCACTTAAATAATTTATATTATTTATTTATAAACAGATTTAAATTCATTTAAGTTGTTTCATTCATTCAACCAGCGCAGTGGCTCCATCTGCCGCATTGAAACTTCACTAAGCGCGGCGAATTAACAAGAACTGTGTTTAGCCAAGAT